GTAGAGGAAGAGGCGGTGGCGGCTAGAGGCAGAAAGACGAGCTCTGTTTGGGGCAGGGGTGGTCGGACCAGATGAAGAAGAGGAAGATGTTGCTGATGTGTTTCCACCCGTCCGCTTCCGACTCCGAGTTTCCATACAAAAACCATTCAGGATACCAAAATTTCATGGTAAGGACTTCTTTTCAATCTTTTCAACGTTAATGTTAATGTAAAATGAGATTTTGGTTTACTAAAATTGAGAGGTTCTTGAACTTTGCTTTGTTTAACAGAGTAAGTTTTGCATAAAATAAAATAAAAACGTGTTGGGGGTTTATGCTCGGGGAACCAAACGATTATATCAAACTAATCCTGACAAAAGGTAGTTAATTCTTGTTCCCTTCCTTTTAGTTGTTTATAATAAACCCGTGTTCTGAGTTTTTTTTTTTTTAAATGAAGTAACGGTTACTTTGATACTATTGGAACCAAAGAATATTAGCAGGCGAAAAATCTGAATGAAACATAAGGGAAGACTGTTGTTGGCGTTCTCTTCATTCTTTTGTTTTTTACTGTACCTTGTAAGGTGTCTTGAATTATGAGATGATATCGGGACCAAAAAGGATGTGAGGGAGTCCATTTTTTCACTTTGGTTTGTTTCTTCCATCTACTTAGAGATTTAAGGGGGACTAACTGTTCCAATATTTGCTCTTGGTTTCTTAGTTGATTTCGTGGAATTAGAGTACTTATGTTGAACATTTCTAGAAGAGTTCAACTAGAGGACTTATGCAAAATGACAATGATTCTGGTGGTCCATCAACGCCTAGAGGTTTTATTGGTCAGCTATGCCTTCGCAGAGGCTCAAGTGAGGTTGGTTATATTTTTTGAGGCAATTTTATGCATCACAGAGCTAAGTTATTTTATGCTCTTCTCAAGCACATAACATTGGCTAAATTGAATTTGTTTTTGCTAAGACTTGTTTGCTTCGACTAGGAATACATCTGATTGGTAGAACGTGTACAATCGTATGTTTCATTATGCATTTTAACTTTTTGAGCTTAATGATGATTGCAGACAAATTATTTTATTGAATGCATAACATGTTTAGAAAAATCAGATGACTGATAATGTGTGTAAGTTGTTGAAGCAGAGTTGAAAGTTTGAAATCTCACTTTCGGTTGAATTTTTTTTACAAAAGAACTTGTATA